TCCTATCTCAGGCTTAACAGTTTCTGATGATGTTACAAATTATTATTTGTTCTCTTCATTAGTCTCACAGAAGGCTTGGATTTGGTTTCCTCTATCCACATGCCTGAGTCTGTCTTCTTTGTGCTTCTGTACTTGATACGGGTACATAAACTTATGTAAGGGTACACACATTAAGACAATATAAGAAATCATTTGACGATTCATGATCTACAGATATCTTTAGAGATGATTAATCACTAAAAAGATCTTTTCTACAACACAATAACACTGAAGTTTTCTTATCAAAACTGTTTGAGCAGGTCATCTACAATAAATTTTCAATGAGTCAAAGATGTATGACAATTTCTATTTTTAATAAGGATATTTTTTTTTTGGTTTTTCGAGACAGGGTTTCTCTGTGTAGCCCTGGCTGTTCTGGAACTCACTCTGTAGACCAGGCTGGCCTCGAACTCAGAAATCTGCCTGCCTCTCCCTCCCAAGTGCTGGGATTAAAGGCCTGCGCCACCACAGCCCAGCTATAAGGATATTTTAAAATATTGTATTTCTGTAATTACTAACTTAGGAAAAGGATCATATATATCTTCCATTGTAGAACACTTTTGTATCCCAGATGGGTGAAAGATGATGCAATTTGAAGAACTTACCCTTGTAGGAAATACTTACTTGTCCCATTAGAAATTTCGTTTTCTGGGCAGGGACTGCAATCAAAACAGCAGGATGGCATTCCATTCTTCCTGAATTTTCTAAATCCTGGACCACAATCAGCACTGCACACAGAAGTTGGCATCTAAAGAAAAATAAACATATCCTACTATCAGTTTTACTTACCCCTTCACAAAATATATTATATTAGCATGTGATATTAATAAGCTTATTTTATATATACCAGCAAAGTTACCAGATTTTACTTATTGCATTTCCTGATGACAGACATCAATATATGGAAAATTTGAGGAAAATTTGAATTGTTAACCATCAACTTGAAATTCTGAAAGAAGATGTGGTAATGTCCTGTTTACAAGGATTGCAGGGATTGCAAAGTGGTTACTCTATTTATTCTTGTCTCCTTAACAAAAAGTGCAGTATAAAGGCACAGAGATCCTAATAGAGAAATTATCTCCATCAGACTAGCCTGTCATCATACCTGTGAAGCATATCTGAAAGTTGTAATTGATGTTGGAGTGCCCTGCCCATTAGAGGCAGTGTTGCTCATAAGAAACATTGGTACATTAGAAATCATACAGAACAAGCAGTTTCTTGAATGACTATGTTTCGGTTACAGTATACAGATCCGTGCCTCGCCTTTCCTTGAGTGTAACCCATGAGCCAAATCAACCTTTTCCTCCTCATTTTGCTTATAGTTAGTGTTTAATAACAGCAACATAGAAACAAATGACAAGTAAAGAACATTCAAAAATGGGAAAAAGCAACTCAAATATCAGATAACAGAAATAACCTGATCTACATTAGGACTGCAAACCATAACAAACTAAATGGAAAGAAAGAGAAAATCAGCTGCATATGCAGAATCCCATGAATTTTTGGTGAGGAGGTGCTCAGTTTCTGTATAGTCAGCTGGAAGATGGAGTGTTTCCTGAAGTGAAAAGGCTTTATGGAGCCTGCAAACATGGTGAAAATTTAGATTGTTTAAAGTTAATTAAAGTATTTCTTACATTAAGAAAATTATGGTGTCACAATGAATCTAGTGATGAGCGTCTATATGCTGCTTTGGAATTTTGCTGATTTCTACATGCTGAATTTGCATCCTTTGTTTCATGTTAACATTGATGTTGCGACCACAAAGTGTATCATTCACAGGCTTATGTCATTTTCTCCAGAAGTATGATTAAGCATGCCTCTTCCTTTTTGTTGTTTTTGGTTTAGTTGAAACAGGGTCTCACTGTATAATATTGGTAGAACTCAACTTTATATATATATATCATGGCACTGTACTTTCTTTCCTTTCCTGTATTTATTATTTATTGTCAACCTTAGTAGTTTTGAAAATGCATCTCCTTATCTGTATTCTGCTCATTTCATTTAAAGCAGAGTATCCATTTTACTCCTGGTTTGAGTACATTCAATAGAAAAGGCAGACTAGCCTTTGAGTGGAGAGAGATTATCCTGATTCTTGATACACAGAATGTAGATTAACTACATGTGCCGAGACAAAATCTTGACTTCATTTCTAGTTTTAATGAAGATTATTTGAGTCTCCTCTCCATATACCGCAATGCCATCAGTAAGTTTGCTGTAGAAACCTTTCTTATGGGAACATGTCTTCTCTTATTTTGTCAGGGTTTTTTTCTCCTTTTTTAAAATTCTGAGTGGATACTAGACATTGTTTAGAGCCTTTTCTGCATGTTTTCGGATAATATAATTCTATCCTTGAGTTTATGTTGTGATGAACATATGTTGAACCTCAAGGAATGAAGTAATTTTTTACAGCTGTAGCGGCTTGTATTATGAATGCTAATTATGTTTCCCAAACAACTGTTTGCACCAGAGCTTCTTAAAGTAGCATCTGGGCACCTACCCCCAGTTGGTTCTGAATGGTAAATAAACATGCCACCAGTAATAGCCGGAGAAGACGACAGAGGCAGGATTTCAGGATTCCCTGGGCTTGGAACCAGGAGAAAGAGGAAGGAAGAAGTATGCCACAGTGGGGAGAGAGTGCAAACAGAGGAGAGACAGAATCTACATGTGTTAGAAAAGCAAGGTGAGTGCCCAAGCTCTGTGCCAAAAAAAATTGGCCCAGACAGTTGTCTGAGTTAAGAACAACTGAAATGGAACATAGAATTAGTATTAACTCAGGATTCACAGCTGTGGGGAAAATTTAAGAAGGCCGCCACAGTGGCACAAGCCCCAGAGGGGCTTCCGCCGCAGTGGCGGGTCCCACATTCGGGGGAGAATCCTATGGTTCCCTATGGTTCCAGGGACTGAGGGCCTTGGCAGCAACAGGCCCCAGTAACACGAGGAAGTCCTTGATTCCAAAAAGGTTTATTGTCATGGCGGAAAATAGATGGATCTAGGCGTACCCCCCAAAAACTCAGGGCAGTCCCGAGTTATATAGGGAAGGAGAAAGGGGGAGGATCTGGGGGAGGCATGTTTAATTTGCTCTGCCCTCTGGCCTTCATTAGTATGTAAATCCCTAGGGCCTGGGGCCTATAGCCTGGCCTATGTAGTAATTTTATGAAGACCGTGACTGCTTTTTCAGGATCCTGGGTTCTGGGGGTGGGGGGGCTTCGAACTCTTGCCAGTTCTCATGAAGAATCTCGCCCAGAATCTACAGAGTCCCAGGGTTCTAGACACGTGCTCCACCATGATCGAGGATACCCTTACACAGTCCCACACACAGCAAGTTGGTTGAGCGGTGGCCCAGCCATTGTGCTGTTTAAGGCATATTAAAATCTAAAGGGTATGTGTGTGTCTCTTTTATTCTGTAACATAAAAAATTGAGGCTGGTAGCAAACCAACCACTGGGATTAATTAATATATATTACAGCACACAGGGTCTAATCTTCAGTTCCAATATTGACGTCTGTTGGTAGAGGTTTACTCAGGATTATTTGAGGCATGTCTACAAAAGATAAATGATGTTATACTCTGATTATAATTATTCCGTTCTACTTTAGTTTGTTGCTTCCCCACCCCCTATTTACAGAAGTTCTCTGTTCATATACATAAGGGAAAGGTTTTTGTTACATCTTCCCCCAGAAATGCCACAAAAGAATGCCTATTTTTACAGATCAAGCTTACTCACAGTGGCCATATTTATGTGAGTGGCCTGTTCTATTATCTCTAGCCATGGTGCTATCCAGCTCCATACTGCTACCAAGAGCCATATCTGGGTGCGTTGTTCTATAGCATGCAGAGTTTTTGCTGATACCTGTTGTCTGTGTACCTACCAAAGTTTGTTCAAATAGATGTGGTGGCTGCTGACACAATGGTGTAGCCCTAGGCCAGAGGTCCTGCTGCCAATGTGATCTGTATTGATGTCCATCAACAATGTTACCACCAAAGGCCATGTGGGTGCCCTTAGGCTGAGTTAATAACTGAGGTCATGCTGAGGTCCATGAGTTCTGATGTCAGCTGGAGCCATACTGATGTGAGTAAACTTCACTGCCACCTGAGGCTAGGGGAGAAGCCAGGATCTATGCTGATGCTGATGGTTATATATGGGTCCATAGTCCTACCCCATGTAGAGTCATTGTTGATTTCCATGGTACATGTTATGACTGAAGAATTATCAATTTTCATGGTTGGGACTATAGCCTGAAACCATGTTGATGCCCATGGGCTGTGCTCATTTTGAGGGCCTTGTCTCTGTCTGTCGCCCTGCTACTGGTAGGCCCCATGTATTTTTTTCTTTGCAAACACCATAAAACAAGTAGAACCCCATTATCTTTTCTCCCTGCTCCTTTTAAAGTGTTAAGAAACTACTTTTGCAGTGATACAAATGATTGTAGATTCATAGATATGAAGGAGGCACATGAAAGTTTTCTGTAACAACTCCTACCACCATCACAACTTTTGTATTTTCCCCAAAATCAAAGATAGAAAAGCAGTGTAAACAGCAAGCCATAAAAGAACTCTTAAAATATGTGGTAAGGAATCTGAAGTTAGCTTTCTAAAATTGAGGGCTCTTGAGGGAGTTTAGGAGAGTTTTGGGTCAGGAACTGAGAGTTTGTCCATGCTTCAGTGTCTTATTTAGGGTTTTACTACTGTGAACATACACCATGACCAGGGCACATATTATAGGGACATTTAATCTGGCTAGGCTTACAGGTTAGAGGTTTGTCCATTATCATCAAGGCAGGAACATAGCAGCATCCAGGCAGGTATGGTGCAAGAGGAGCTGAGAGTTCTACATCTTCATGTGAAAGCTGCTAGCAGAATACTGTCTTCCAGGAAGCTAATGAGGATCTTAAAACCCACACTTACAGTGACAATCCTATTCCAACAAGGCCATACCTTGAAATAGTGCCACTCCCTCGGCCAAGCATATACAAACCATCATATACAGTTAGTATGTAAAAAGCAGAAATTAGACATTTTAACATTTTTTTTTTACTTTTGTGGAGTGCTGTCATAGAGAGACAAACATGAAAGGACTTGGAATTAAGCATGATCATAGAGCATTAGTGAATTAGTGAGGCCAAAATTTCCTTTAGACAACATTATCTTTTACAAAGTATGAGTCAGGTCTGCAGACATGGCTCAGCTCTCAAGAACAATTGTTAACACTCAAGGGGACCTAAATTTGACTTCCAGCACTCACTGAGAGGCATGGATCTCTTGCAAGTGCTCTGAGATTGGAGTAACTATTCAGCCATCTGTGTATACCATACATGCAAGTGTTACACTGATATTAATGCACAGAAAACACCCTTAGCAATATTTTTAAAAAATAAAAAAGCAAGATATAGTCCATAAAGTATCTAAAACTGTCAGAAAAATGTTAATATATGATTAGCAAGAGAAGTTGGAAATTTTGGTCTAGTTGGTAAACAGGCTTAAAATTACATACTAAAAATCAGTGTCTTGATTATGTTCAATTTACTCTAAACTTACAATTAACAAGAATCTTTAGGCATCTTTTGAAGAGGTTCATTATTAGAGTGGAAATCACTCTACAGTAGTAACAATAGGACCGATAGAATATTGCTCACTTTACTGGAAATAATACCAAAATTTTTCTAAAACAGAATATGTTAATGTTAAAGGCAAGAAACAGGTTCTGATATGATACAAATACATTGTATTAATGTTAAAAACCTTCAGCAAATTACTAAAAACTCATCTGAAAAAAATGAAAAGAAGAAATATAGTTTAGGAGGCTATAAATTGGTCTCTCACTTGACAATCAATTTCATTCACCACTCTCAAGGAAGAGTGTATGCATACACTTGACAGTGTAATTTAAATTAGTACATTTAGGCCAAACCCACCTGTCTACTTCCTCTTGCCCACTCTATCATATCTTCAGATAAATGTAGCTGTCGGCCATTCATAATATAGGGACTAAATATTCCTATTTTCACTTTAAGTCCAAGTCCCTGTGGAAAATTCCAAATGTAGAAAATGTCATACTCTTCCTGAAGTTTATTTCTTTGGTTCATATTCACTCTGTCCCCAACAGGATTAGTAAAGTGGATCCTTCTCAGATAGGAACTCAGCTGAAAGACAGGCAGCATACTATAAAGTATATGTTCTTCCTTTAAGTAAGAATATGTATTCTTATTTCATCTTAAAGTCAACTTTTTTGACAGTATGCAGGTGAAAAAATTTCAGTCAAAGCAAAAAGATAAACAAGATTAAAATGTTTCTGTTATTTTAGTTCTCTATGAGGAAATTACGAAACAAGCACAAATATGGATGCAGACCGCAAACATATATTTGCATATGAAACATACAGGCACATGAAACAGAGAGAGACTCACATCTTATAGAGATACACATAGAGCAAGAGCACACAGTTATTTACACAAATATACACATGCATGCCCAAACACAC